TGCAATTCCCAGGTGTTATTTTACTGATATAGTAGTCATTTTAATATTCAGCACTTCACTTGAAAACTTCTCAGTATTATTAACCCTTTTGCATAGTTACATTGACTGTGTCTTTATTTCTAACATATGTACACACACACACACACACACATATTTACAATATATACATTAGTTAACACAAACACAATTAAGTAGGTCTGTCTAATTGTCTTTAACTTTGTAAATATTTGCTGAAGTTTTGAGGAGCCTCTGTGTTTACCTGTCAATACGCAGTTATCACACCATCCTCTTCATGAGCACCGGTTTATCTGTCCTCCTATTGAGGAATGCTGGCTGTTTCCACGGTTTGTGCCTGTAAGGACTCCCTCTGGGAACATTTGTGCATTGCTCTTGGTTTGGAGGAAATACCACTGTGCTGAAGACTAATGTAAGCATTTGAAGCAACAATGACCAAGTATTTCTCAATGCGGTAAATGCATGCTAAGTCCCAGCACCAGCCCGCAAGAGAGCCTGTGAGCCCACAGCACTCGGTAGTCCTGAGATAGCTGTTTGCTAATTAACTGGGTGTGAAATCATGTCACACTGCTTTACATTCCTTTATTAGTGACACTTCTATTGGCTAAGAAGAAGTTCTTTCAGGAGTCTACTCAAGTCTTCCCCCTTCTGCTTCTTCCTGGCTTGTAGGAATTCTGTGTTTGGGAAGTGTCCTGTGAGCTCTAGCACCTGCCTGTGACCGCTTCTAGTTCATTACAGACATCTCTGTCTTTCAATCGGTCACCCCGCCCTCTCTCCTCCCGACTCTGTGCTCTACTACCCCATCCACCTTCCCGACTCAGTACCCTCCCCGACTCAGTACCCTCCCCGACTCAGTACCTCCCCCGACTCAGTACCCTCCCCGACTCAGTACCCTCCCCGACTCAGTACCCTCCCCGACTCAGTACCCTCCCCGACTCAGTACCCTCCCGACTCAGTACCCTCCCCGACTCAGTACCCTCCCCGACTCAGTACCCTCCCCGACTCAGTACCTCCCCGACTCAGTACCCTCCCCGACTTAGTACCTCCCCGACTCAGTACCCTCCCCGACTCAGTACCTCCCCCGACTCAGTACCCTCCCCGACTCAGTACCCTCCCCGACTCAGTACCTTCCCGACTCAGTACCTTCCCGACTCAGTCTCCCGACTCAGTACCCTCCCCGACTCAGTACCTCCCCAACTCAGTACCCTCCCCGACTCAGTACCCTCCCCAGTCCATGTTCCCTGACCTCGTACCCATCTTCCTCGCCATGTTACAGACACACTTGTTACTGTCGTCTTCTTAGGTTATGTGGAGGTGCTATGTGATGCATGGATGAACCTGGATAAATATTTAATAGTACTACATTTTATTATCTTAAAGAAGGGACTGGTTTAGTGAATTGGAAACTTTTTAAGCTGACTCCTTTTTGATAACTGTGGTCCAAGTGGTCTCAGACCTGAACGTCATAGCACTGGGCATCCTCCCGACCCGCATGCAGGCCAGACACGCCTGCCCACCACACTTGGGAAGCACGGGGCAGTTGCTGTCCTTAGCTTTGTTCTCGTGCAGCTGCCAATCAAACACGGGGCCTCCTGCTTAGACAGCAAGCTGCCACTGAGCTGCACTCCCCAGCCCCAAAGCTATTACATTCTACACAAATATAATGCTCTTGAAGATGAATGTCTGCTTTTCCAATTCAGTGAGCATCTTTTTCTTTTCCTTTTCTTTGTATTTTGATTGATTTTGGTGAGCATGTTTTTCTGATGTGGGCATTATTTTGTTGTACTGATATTCCCACATTCATAGCTGAGCCTTATTTGTGTTTCTGTATTATGTGTACATTTACGAGTGTGTGCGTGCGTGTGTGCGTGTGTGCGCGTGTGCCTGTGTGGGGATTCATATGTGTGCATGTGTGTGCGTGCTTGTGTTAGGAGCACTTTCCCGCCAGCTTGGTCCCACAGCCGCATCAGCACCAAATAACACAGAGACACTGTATTAGTTATGAAACTGTTGGCCTCTTACTAGCATTTCTTATTGGCTAGCTGTATGTTAAATATTAATTCATTTCTATCAATCTAAGTGTTTCCATGTCTTATCTTACCGGAGAGAGGGTCCAGACCTCTTACTCCTCTTGTGCCCTACATTTTGACTCTCTACTACATCTCCCAGAATCCTCCTTGTCTCCTAGTCCCACCTATCTTGCTTCCCTATAGGCCAACAGTGCTTTATTCATTAACCAATAAGAGAAACTTATTTACAGAATGCCATCTCCCATCATCTCTTTTCTGTCTAAATGAAAAGAAGAATTTTAACTTTAACATAGTAAAATATATAGCAAAGCAGTTATCAGATAAGAACTACAGTTAACAATATTTAGTCCATTAACATTAGGAATTAGAGAAAATGTTCTATCATCTATCCTATTTTTGTGAGTCTAAAGTCTTATATGTAACTTATTTTTAATCCTAACTAAGGAAAACTATAGCCATAACTGTCTGTCTTCAACTCCTTCAAAGACCACAGAAGGATAATATATAAACTCTAGAAATGACAGAGACATCTTGCTACCTAGACAGTCATCCAAAGTTCTTTTATAAATTGGCACATCCATCTTCAGCCCAGAGGCCATAGTGTATCTGGCAGACTTCTCAGCAATTCAGGAAATTTCAAACTGTCCACCTGTATTGGCAGTTTGTCCATCATTTTTCTCTGTGTCCTGCAGACTGTCTGGCAGACTCTTCCATGAAGCAGGAACTCTGTAGCAATGTTCATCTTGTTTCAGCTGTTACTTTTGAGTTTTCCAGCTTGTGTCATTATTAAACTTGTGTACCACATCTATGGACTGTGCCCACCCAAGGCCATGAACAGATCTTTGTCTGTCTGTCTGTCTGTATGTCTATTTTGGGGCAGGATTTCCAGGCTGGCCTTGATCTCAGAGATTGCCTGCCTCTGTCTCTGGAGTGCTGGGATTAAAGATATGTGCCACCACACCTGGCCATATTAATTTGTTCTTGAATTAATTCTTTAAACCCCTTGGTTGTAATCTAGCTTATTTATGCTTGGGTTTCTACTTGACTGTATGCATGTACTTGAGTATTATTGTGCTGGTTATATTCACATAAAATGATAGTGAAGTTTTATACCTTCTGAAGTGAGTAAAATTGTGGAATTCTTAGATAAAGTTATAAATCTGAATATGGCATGTCAGAAATTTGAAGTATTTTACCTATCAAATAAATACTTGTTCGTATCGTAATTTAGTAATAAGACAAAACAAAAAGTAGTGTTTCAGAACTGTGTGGATTTTGATAGAAAAAGTGGGCAGCACAGAACTGATTCCTAAAGCTGAGAGCAGACCTGTAAATGTATTTACGAAAACAGCGGAGCGCGAGGTCTGGGTGCTCGGAAACAGAGGGCAAAGGTCCCTCTTGAGCGCATTTCCTGTACGTCGTCATAGCTGTTCATTATACGGCAGTATCCTCAGCACGACTTCAGCTTTATCTAGGCCTGCTGGGAGAATGTATGTGGGTGCTGCCACCAAAAATGCATCAAAGAATGTGATAATCGGCTGCTCTCTTAACAGCCAGTGCTTTGATACGTGCAGGTTCACTTGATCTTTTAGCCAGTAAAAGCATGTGCATTCACCCTCAGTCCCAGCACCCGGAGGCAGAGGGAGGAGGAAGGATGTCTGTGAGTTCGAGGCCAGGCTGGTCTACAGAGCCAGGCAAGGGTACATAAGTGAGACCCTGCCTCGGTAAGGAAACCGAGCAGGAAAGCCATGGTCGACGGTGATGCCGCTTCAGAATAAGTTTCCTGTTGAGGTGGGACCAGATAAACAGAGATGCAGTGTGCAATGGATGCCACACAGAACTCTGTTTTTAAAACAGGTGTACTTGCTAAAACTGCTGTTTTGTTTTCCACAAAAAATATCAAAACTAAAATGAGGCTAACTCATTTTACTGAGTGGCTGTCATGATTAAAAGTTATGGTTAATGGAGCTGTAGCTCAGTTGAAGAGTGTTTGCCTGGCACACACAGCCCTGGGTTTGTACCCTAGTACCATGAAACAGAAAATCAAAGGCTTATGGATGATTTGTGTACACAGTTGGGGGCTGCTACAGCCACTCAGTACACTCAGTTCTTGGTAATTGTAAAGTGTGTGTGTGTGTGTGTGTGTGTGTTAGTTACAGTTACATTGAACTAACTGCAGATCAGATGTGTTTGGAAGACACATTCCTACCGATTATGTGCAGATTTGCTTGTTATTTGTCCCTCAAAGAATGCAGTGCGTCATCTAGTTACAGGCACTTTTATTGGGTTAAATACTGTTAAGTAATCTTGTTTTACTTCAAAGTGCTCTGTGCAAATACTGTGTAGTTATATGTAAGGAACTTGAACACCCAGGCGAGTACCGAAGCCAGCATCCTGTGCATAGCAGGAGACAATTGTCTGTTGGTCTGTGAGTCCTTTCCTTATTTAAACCTATGGTTAAACTGATACGTGAACTGAACACGTGGAAAATGAAGGGGACAGTGATTAGATGAGTCTGATACAAAACGAAGGTTCGCCCACACCCTCCTGGCCCTCAGCAGGCCTCCGTAGTACCTGATAGGGACCTAGAGCTCTGCAGAGCAATGGACACCATCCTAGCGGACTTTATGTTTTGCAGTTTGGGGGACTGAACCCAAAGCCTTGCGAATTAGGCAAATGGTTTGTCAGCAAGCTTTGCCCTCACCTCTCTGCTGGACTTTGAACAAGACCTAAATCCTCTCTTGTTGACTGGTTAGAGGCACGGACGGACGCTGGCGTGGGGTTACCCCACAGCAGGTGATTAAGGGATCCAGTCAGGTGAGCACCACGATGCTTCTGAAGGTCCCTGATCGCTGAGCGGAGTCGCAGTCTGAAGCAGAGTTAATGAACCCATGGGCGAGCCTGCGTCACTTAAAGCATGCAGTGGTAACGCCGTGGTCTTCTGTCCCTTCCCCAGATTGCGGCTGGAGTTTGCCCCCGATGAACAGGAAGATGATGAGTGATGCTAGTGACATGTTGGCAGCGGCGCTGGAGCAGATGGACGGGATCATAGCAGGTAAGCCACACCACGCCGTGCAGCCTGCCCTTCCCCAAGTCTCCTGCTGGCTCTGCCCTCTCCAGAGCTCTCCACAGTGCTCTCCACAGTGCTCTCTCCAGTGCTCTCTCCACAGAGCTCTCTCCACAGAGCTCTCTCCACAGTGCTCTCTCCAGTGCTCTCTCCACAGAGCTCTCTCCACAGTGCTCTCTCCATAGTGCTCTCTCCACAGAGCTCTCTCCACAGTGCTCTCTCCATAGTGCTCTCTCCACAGTGCTCTCTCCACAGTGCTCTCTCCAGTGCTCTCTCCACAGAGCTCTCTCCACAGTGCTCTCTCCACAGTGCTCTCTCCACAGTGCTCTCCACAGTGCTCTCTCTAGTGCTCTCTCCACAGTGCTCTCTCTGCTCTCTCTAGTGCTCTCTCCAGTGCTCTCTCCACAGTGCTCTCTCCACAGTGCTCTCTCCAGTGCTCTCTCCACAGTGCTCTCTCTGGTGCTCTCTCCAGTGCTCTCTCCAGTGCTCTCTCCACAGTGCTCTCTCTAGTGCTCTCTCCAATGCTCTCTCCACAGTGCTCTCTCTAGTGCTCTCTCCAGTGCTCGCTCCACAGTGCTCTCTCCACAGTGTTCTCTCCACAGTGCTCTCTCCAATGCTCTCTCCAGAGCTCTCTCCACAGCTCTCAGGACCCCAGGACTTTACTTTGCTCTGCTTCTCCGGTTCCATCGGTTTTTCTGATATTTTGTTGCAAATGTCAAAGACTTCACTCCCACCCCCAAGTCTTTTCATCACCCCACGGGGTCCAAGTCCCAGGTCGCCTGGCGTGCATGGCCCATGGGCCACACTGTGAGAGTGTGTTCTTTCCTGTTTTGTGAATGACCTGTTCCTACGCATCAGCGTTCAGGCCACAGGTGGTTCGGCTCCTCACTCAGACTCAGGTCCCTACCTCTGCCAACAAGATCTTTCCTGTGAAATGGCCACTAGGCACATTAGTGTCACACTGAGCTGAACACAAGCTGAAGCATCAATTAAGTGCATTCCCTTTCCTTTGGAGATGCCTCTAGTGGCCTTTAATCTGGCTTTCATTCGTCCTTCCCTTCCCTTCCTCTTCCTCTTTCTTCTCCTCCCTCCTCCCTCCTCCTCCTTCCTCCTTCTTTTTCCTCCTCCTTTTTTCTATCTGAAATTTCCTGAGCCTGAAAGAGTCCCCCAGGCCTCTCATGCTCTGTGAGTTCAATCCCTCCATCCCTCCCTCCTCCAGGTTTTACCTTTTCCTTCATCTTGTTGAGAAGCCTTCCTGTCTTGCTGCTTTTGTCTTGCTTTGATCTAATAAGTCTTCCACCTATGCTGCTGAGATGGAGCTGTGCTATAGTCCCCCATCTCTGGACCCCAGACTCTTCAGACACAGATAGTGTCCCCTTACCTGGATCCTCCTGGCTCTGTGGTGGAAGCGGAGCCGTGGGCCCTGACCCTCACCGGTGCAGCAGCTGATCTGGGGACAAACCCCTGAGCTGCACTGTGGTGGCCACACGTCACATCACAAGAGAAGTCTTGTGCATGCACCAGGCCCTGCTACAGTAACGAGAGGGTGGACTTGCCATCCGTTCCGTGGTCAGCCACAGCTGTAGTCGTGACATGTGTGTGTGTTTGCGCGCACGCGTGTGTGTCTGTGTGTGTGCGCATGCGTGTGTGCCTATGTGTGTGTGCGTGCAATGTATGTGCGTGCCTGTGTGTGTGTGCATGCGTGCGTGCATGCATGTGTGTGTGCGTGTTTGTGTGTGTGTTCTACTCTTCGCTTCTGACCATCATTTTCACCCACTGTTGGGGGCTTTGAGACCTGAGGTGGCTCTGTCCAGAGGCTCTTTCTCCCCTGAGGGAGCTGGCATGCATGTTCATTGTTCTTGTGTCCCTGGAGATGTAAGTTCACTTTACCACCTCTGTTTGGAGTGTTCTGTCCTTTTCTTGGAATATCTTTTTAAGGGGCTTTTTGTAAGTGAACCTCCGTATAGGGATGAACTTGATAGTGAAGCGCTCCATAACCAAATCTAACAATGGACCCATTAACTTTTAATATAGTAAAGTATTCTCAGCACTCGGGGGAGGCAGAGTCAGGCGTATCTCTGAGTTCGAAATCAGCCTGATCTACAGAGCTAGTTCTAGGACAGAGTCCAAAGCTATACAGATAAACCCTGTCTTGAAAAACCAAAAAAAAAAAAAAAAAAAGCATTCTTTTGTTTGGGGTTGATACATGCTTTTAAACAGTTTTGCATCTACAGAAGAAGTCAGGCCCATTCTGTTATGATTTCAGAAAGCAAAGCTAGGCTCTTACCAGGCACTAACCTCATACTCTTAAATACTGGAGGGGTGGTGCATCTGGAATATCATTTGAAGGCTGTACTCATTATATATTCTCCTAGATTAGGATGTTAGTTTCTTGACCCCTGTAGGACTTCAGGCCAGCCAGATGGCTCAGTAGGTAAGGGTTCCTGCCCCCAGGCCAGATGATCTTACTTCAGTCCCAGGGACGCAAATTTGTGGGAGGAGAGAGCCAACATTTCAGTTTGTCCTCTGACCTCTGTACATGCACTAAGACACATGTACATACTCAGTGACATATGTGCATATGCACGACAAAAACAACACACAAGTGTAATAATAATTAATTAAAATGTGGAAAAAGTTAGGGGCTGCCGAGATGGCTTACTGCTTTTGTATAGGATCTGGGTTTCATTCCCAGCTCCCAGTCAAATTACAAGAGCCTGTAATTCCAGTTCTGAAGGAATCAGACGTCCTGGTCTTGCCTCCACAGCCACCTGTATGCACGTGGCACTCACGGATTCATGTAGGAACAAGCGTGGTTTCATGCACACTGACAAATAAATGTTTATGAAACTTTTGTAGGAAATAATTTTAAAAATAGAAAAAGAAAGATTATCCAGGACCTATACCAAACTTTAAGTCAGATGTTTTGTGACTTGGTAGGACCTGAGCTTATTCCAGTAAGCAGTTATGATTCTACAACTGAAATAGGAAGGAGAAGAGAAATGACTATAAATGCATAGGGTTTAAAAAATAACTATATTTATATATTATATGGTATACACATATATGTTACATATATGTTACATATATATGTCTATGCTCACTTTGTTCTGTAACAAGATATATTAGAGTAGAAGATTATTACAGGAATATCAGATGATCTTAATGCTTGTAAGTGCTGGAACAGAACCTGCCGTCTTCAGGACTGTGTGCGTGTTTGTGTGATATGCATGTTTGCATGTCTGAAGGTTTGTGTATGGTGTGTGTGTACTATGATGTGTGTGTGTGTGTATACTATGATGTTTGTGTGTGTGTATGTGTATGATGATGTGTGTGTGCATGTGTATACTATGATGTATGAGTGTGTGTGTATGATGTGTGTGTATGTGTGTGTACTATGGTGTGTGTGTGTATTATGATGTGTGTGTGTGTGGACTGAAGTTGATGAGGTTTTCTTCCTTGACTTTCCCTGGTTCTTTGAAATAAAGGCTCTTGCTGAACCCTGAGCTCAGCCATTTCTGTCCACTTGTCCCAGGAATCTTGCTTTACCTCCCAAATACTGGAATTACAGGCCACAATAATTTTTTTTTCTGAGTCAGGGTCTTACTATGTAGTCTGACTGACCTAGAACTTGCTATGCAGACCCAGAAATCACAGAGCTCTGTCTTCCTCTGCCTCCCAAGTGCAGGGTCAAAGGTGCACACCACCACATTTGGCTTAGAACACCAAATTTTGAAAGTAATGCTAACCGGAAATTTCGTGCTAAGGCTATAGACAGAATGTAGAGGAAACTCTTTTATGTGTTTGCTCACATACACATAAGTACATATACACGCAGCGCACTGTGCATCACTACAGAAGAACATGACTCATTTTCAGGGAATCCGAGGACTTCACGTTGTCTAAGGTTCGTGTTTCCTGGGAGGCGTGGCCCCACCCCGACCAGTCATCCGCCTTGTTCTGTTCTCTGCCTGAGCCTACCATGCTCCTTTTCCTTCCGTACCCGGGCTGGCCTTTTCATTAGCATCTACCATCCACATTTACTGTTGATGGCATTGGTTTTTCAACTATGCAAGGTTTGGAGAGATTTACATGATATTTTTTTTTTTGGTCTTTTCCCTGTTCTTGTGTGCATTGCTGGTGACATCAGACTGGCTTGTCTTTTTCAGGTGTGGTGTTTTACCAAACTTAAGTCCTATTGCTCTCTCTGACTTTCTTTTTTTAACCAGGTTCTAAAGCCTTGGAATACTCCAATGGGATTTTTGATTGCCAGTCTCCCACCTCCCCGTTCATGGGAAGCTTGCGAGCTCTGCACCTTGTGGAAGATCTGCGAGGATTGTTGGAGATGATGGAAACGGATGAGAAGGAAGGGTTGCGGTGCCAGATCCCAGACTCCACAGCAGAAACGGTTATCGAGTGGCTTCAGAGTCAGATGGTAGGCTTCTGCGTGTCCCTTCTCTGTGCTGTTAATTTTCTCTTGTTTATTCCGGAGCTGAGAGCACAGACTAGCAGATCAAACAAGAGAAAAACAAAACAAAACAGAACAAATCAAAAACAAAAAACAACAAAACTTGCAAGGCAGAACAAAAGACCCAAGTTCCTCTCATCTCTAAAGACAGCTTAAATTTCTCATTTCATTTTATAGACATGAATATTTTGCCTGCATATGTATTCGTGTATCAAGTACATGCAGTTGCCTGTAAGCCCAGAAGAAGGTGTCAGATAGGGTGTGTGTGTGTGTGTGTATGTGTGTGTGTGTGTGTGACAACAGATGGCTGTGAGCCACCATGTGGGTGCTGAAAATCTAACCATCCTCCGAAAGGGCAGACAGTGTGCCTGTCATCCCCATCTCTCCAGCCCCTAAGGATGACTTTTGAAAAGACACTGTATTGTATGGGTGCCAACAAGTTACCCGATTCTGCCTCTGAAAATGGACCGGCTTTTAGTCATGTAAGTGACCTGGTATGCCTTAAAGCAATGTTCCTGTGAGGAAACGAAGCTCAGTGAGGTAGGGTGGGCCTCCTGTGAAGGACTCAGTGGCTGTGGTAAACAGAACCGTGAGTGTCTGAGGGATTCAGAAAGCAGTGAAGGTTTGTAGCTGCGTTTGAGGAGAAGCGCCCTCTAGTGGGCGGTGACAGTCATGTCACCCCCGCTTCTGATAGCTGCAGCTCGGGGCTCTGCTGAGGACGACGCAGGGGCAGACACCACGCCTGGTACATGTTGAACACGGAAAGTCTTGAGAGCAGCGTGGAACAGCCGCAGATGAGAAGATAGAGGGAGGCGTGATGATTGAGGTGCACGCGTGCGCTCAGGACTTGGCTGTGTTTATGTAAGAACTCGTGGAGACTGCGGGAGAGGACCGAGGTCTGTTTGCCAAACTGGAGGAGTGAGAGCTGCCTGCTCTGAGAGCCTGACCGCGCCTAATGCCCAAACTTTTCATGTGGCGTCGCACAAAGTCTGGAGCCCTGGCCGGTCCAGACCTGAGCCTGGCATTCTTGGTTCCCCCCAGTTTGTGCCGGTTCAAGCCATCTTTCAGGATTAGAGGAGTTACGAGACGTTTCACTGTTAGCGACAGACGATGCCTGCATGAGACTTGAGCGACTCCCAGGCCTTTAAGGGTTCACGTTTGCTGGTTTCTTTGGAAGCAGCAGCTCGGTGCTCTGGAGCTCACTGCTCCCGCTCAGCCTGTTCCCGCTTCCCGTGCCTTTATGTTCACACTGTGAGAAAGGAATTTATGGCTGGCAGAAGGGGTTTCCTCCCCACTCAACGCCCGGAGGCCGCCAGCGGCAGCGGTGGCTCAAGAGGATGGGTAGATAATTGCTTGTGCTCTGAGCACTCAGTGACGTGTGCCTGTTGGTTTGCTGAGTGTTCTGAGGGCTGGTGTGTGTGTGTGTGTGTGTGTGTGTGTGTGTGTATGTGTGTGTGTGTGTGTGTGTGTGTCCTCGGTGGTGATGTTGAGACCTGCGCTCTGTCTTCACACACTCTGCCTGGAGTGCAGTGAAGGGGTCACTCTCTCCTGCCACCTGCGCTGGCCACCCCAGCTTGAACTCTGCTGATGTGGCTAATGTGATTGTGGGCACTGCTCAGGGCGTTCCCACAAGCCCCGGGACAGTCGCTTTAATGTCAGCTGGGGTGTCTCAGTGTGCTGCTGTGTAACACAGGTGACTAAGGTCACTTAAAGGACACAGGCTTCAGATGGACCTTGTTTGCCCAGGCCAGAGGAAACATCCCGAGGCCCAGATGAAAGGAGGGCCTTGCAGAGCATCACTGCGGGAGGCTGGAGGGAAGGCGCTCGCTCGCTCAGTCTGCCATTGAGACCAGGAAGCAGGGCTAGCCAGCGCTCAGAGAGAGCACGCCTCACAGTTGGACTCTAAATGACACACATTTGCACTTTTACCCTTTTAAAAATGTGATTGCGGATTGAAATATTTTCATTTTTGAAATGTAGAAATAGGATAGGCCTGTACAATGATTATTTAGCAGGTCAGAAGCCGGCCAGCAATGCCCTGTTTCTATGCTCTACCTCACAGGTTAGAATCCTTGATTTGCGGACATTAAACTAGTATTTCACCGAAAATGGAATTTCCATAACTTGCACTGGCTATGAGATTGCCTCATAACCAAAACTGCAAAGCCCTGAGCCTCTCCATATGGCTGTTGTGGCTCTGGGCCTTGATCCTCGGATTCTTGCATGGAAAAAGCATTGTGAGAATATTCCAGGGCGAGTTAGGCCTAAGATAAACAGAAACTATGTGTTTGGCTCAGATAGAGTCTTCCATTTGCTGCCTTAAATCTAGGGCTTGGTCGGGCCATGGTGGTGCACACCCTTGATCCCGGCACTAGGGAGGCAGAGGCAGGCGGACCTCTGAGTTGGAGGTCAGCCTGGCCCACAGGACAGCCAGGGATACGCAGAGAACTGCAGTCTTGGGGAAAAAAAGAAACGTAGGGCTTGATGGATGCACAGTCCTTTATTAGTAGTATCTGTTAACACACTGTAAGGTTTCACATTATAATGGAATTCTGCTCTGCCTCAGTAACTGAGCAAGTTTCCTGTTGGATAGGATTTTTCCCCCTGCCATAGGAGACTGACTGCTGAATCATAAATGTCTTCCTTCTCTAGGAGCATAGAGTTATAGAAATGCTGTTAAGACAGATTCGTGCTTACATGCTGTGTCCCTTTGCTGTGAGAAGCTATTAGCCCGTACTTTCTTGTTTCCAGTCTGTGTGTTTGAGACTGGGTATCCTAGGCAGGCCTCAAGTTCTCATCCCGCCCCCGGAGAACTGGCATTACAGACAGGTGTCCAGCTGCCAACTCCATGAAACAATTAAGGCGGTTTCAGCAATTAGTAAAGAAGCATCCTTGGGGGAAACCAGGGGTGCTCCAGACCTGGCAGGAGGGGTAATTACAAGTGCAGGTAGATGCCCACTGCACTAATGAGAAGATTAGCATCTCTTAGAGCACATGGACTCTCAAGCTGGCCACCGTTGGAAAGCGTGAATGAAGACTTTAATTGCTTGGTTGTCACCATTTACAAGTGACTATGAGGTGCCATGGGAGCACTTCCGCAGTTTCAGAAGCATCTGCTCTCCACCAGAAGTGAACCTCTGCGATGATCAGTAAGGCTCCCTCATGGTGGGGGCCGTTCCCTCAGTGCAAAGGCATGCTAGGTTCTCCATCTGTAAGATCTGCTGCTGCTTGCCGTTCGGGGAGGGGTGCCCAGCACGTGTTAGCACAGGCCCCTCCCAATTCCCTTCACTAACGAGGACATGGAGACAGCTGAAGAGAGCCATCCATGAGTTAAGCCTTGCTCCACAGTTGCCAGCCTCCTTCACTTGTTCACTGGGCCACTTCTCACTGGCAGTTGGGGAGTTTGCCAGGTGACTTCCCTTGCTGTAATGAAGTACCTCACAATAGCAGCTTAAAGATGGAGGGTTTATTTTGGCTCAGGATTTAAGAAAGAATCCAGTACACCGTGGTGTGAAACACACGGAGAGGGAGTGTGAGGCAGCTGGTCAGTCACACTGTCAACACTTAGGAAGCGGAGGCTGACAGGAAGTGGGGCTGGGCTACAGAACTCAAAGCCCCCCCCCTCCAGTGTCCCACTTCTAATAGCGAGTTTCCACGCCTGAGAAATTCCACAACCTTCTGAATAGCACCACCAGCTGGGGACCGGGTGTTTGAACCCCTGAGCCTGCAGGAGGGGACACTTCAAACTGGCAAGGTAGCACTGTGTCCTTCAACTCTGATGGCGTTGACTTTTACCTCAAGGGTGGTTTCGTTTTTTCGTTATAGAATCCCCGCTTTCCCCGTTTGAGCCTCACAGTGCAGACGCCACCGTCCTCCACCGTCACAAGCCTTCCCGCCTTGAGAACTCCAAGTCTGTGCTGTTAGTGCCATCCCTGCTTGGGACGCCCCCTTGTCTTTCTGTGTCCGTGAGCCTAACAGTTCTAGACGCCCTACCAACCAATCAATAAAGAGTGAAAAGGGAAGAGTGGGTCCCAGCTAAGCGGTGTACGCGTGCACGCCCCCATTTTAGCATGTGCTCATACACCCTGACTTCTGAATACTCCGAGGAGAAGTCATGGCGCGTTAAGCCTCAGACCCTCTTCCTTTGCATCCTCAGTGCCGGCCCAGGCGCACTGTGACAGATAGGTAGGTGGGGGCTCCTTCATACCCCTGATTCTGTACCCCACACCCGATTCTGCATGCCTTCTCCTCCTCCTCCTCCTCCTCCTCTTCCTGCTCCCCTCCTCCCCTTTCTTCTTCCCTTCTCCGAGTGCCTGAGGGAAAACATTTGCTTTGGCTTGGAAGGTTTGGGATGGGGAGAAGGACTAGACAGGGTGAGTTAGGCCTGAATAAGTTGGGAACGAAACTCTAACCTCTCTAGATCCGTGGGCTCTGCATTTTGTTACTGTTGGAATGTTATTGTTGTAATGGAATCTTTGTTGGTTCTGGAAAAGTATCTGCCATTCTCTGGATTCTTCTTCGGCTTAAGATGTCAAATAGGAAGACAGACCGTAACCTAAACTACCCTGACTAGCAGCCATCCGCCCAGCTGTACATGGGAGCTGCGTCCCATCTTATACCCACACCGCCCTTTGTCATCCGTGGAGCAATTCTCACTGCAGTTATGGAGGGCCTGCTGCATTTGAGGCACCTCTCCAGACACGGGGGGATACGGTGGGTCGGTTTGTTGTTTGAAAACAAGTTTCTCTGGTTCATGATGCTGACATCATGTTGGGGAGACTGGAGACACATGATACAAACACGGTAAATGTCCACTAAATAAGAGCGTGGTGAGTGTTGAGAAAACCCGAGCAGGGAACAACAAAACCATGCCACCTCAGACGAGGTGGAGAAGCGTCTCTCAGAACGCAACTTCGGGATAAGCACCAGAATGTGAAGGGACTGAGATAGATGATGGCCAGAGAAAG